ATTTATAATTATTTTTTTTATTTTATTAAACTGTTACATAAAATATTTTTTTGAACATCTTAATGCTACTAATACTATTAGTACTACTATTTTCAAGGAATAAATTACAATTTACAATCTGACTCGTATCCATTAAAAAATCATTTACGAAATCTAAACTTCAATAATTCATACCTATAAAACTTGTATTGAGTCAAAATCTATTACTTTGAAATATATTAAAGGGGAACAATATTTTACACGATAAAGTATAAGATTAATATAAACGTTAGCTTTTTCGTAGACAATATAATTCAGAATTTTTTAAATAAGAAGAATCTATTCGCATGAGAATATATCTCATTGCAGTAAATAAATCAAGCTCGTATAAAAGTGTTAGTTATTAGTCTATCAAACTTTTTTGAGAGATACATATTTGACCAAAAGTACATCTTTGAAACGTTAAGATGAATGGGTATATAGGATATATGGGCTTTGTAGAAATAAATCTCATTAACTGCTAAGATAATTGACTTTTATTATTACGCTTGTGGTAGCACATTTCGCCAAATTTTTTTATTAAAGTAAATTTTTTATTCCTGCCAGTGTGTGTATGTATGTAATTGCGCTCTAATATATACATACAACATATTAATTACTCGAAATTTGTGTCGGTTCCGCGTTAGTGACTAAGAGAAATTGACGAAATTCTTCGTCCGATCCTCTACCATCCCTTTCCGAGCGAGGATGCCTGAGCGGAGGCGCTGGACGATGCTCTGGCGGAAGACGCGCTACCGCTGTACGAGCCCAAGCCCCAGTCCAAGCCCTTGTGCAAACCCGAGTCCAGACCCTTCTCGAGTTTTAGTTTGTGCCCGTTAGCGCGAGCGAGAGCGCTAGCCTGTGCGGAACCTTGGGCAGAAGCGCCGGCATCATTTCCCAATCCGACGACTATTCCGTCCCTGAGCGCGTTGACAGCGGACGCCTGTGCGGCAGCTTCAGCCTCGGTTTTGGCGGTGAAGTAATCAGCTCTGGCGGAGGCCGCTTGCTGATCGGCGCTGGCCTTCTCCTCCAGCCGCGCGGCCAACTGAGCGTTTGCCAAGGTGGATGCCTGGGCGGTCTCTGCTTCCTCGGATGCCGTTCTAGCTAGGGCGGCTGTTTTGGCGGTAGCCTGCGAAGCCGCATTGGCTTTAGCATGCATAGCGGACGCGGCGGCGGCGGAGGCAGCTGCCTTGGTGGCGGCTTGGTTGGTTTCCGTGGAGGCCTCCGCGATGCGCTCGAGTGCCGCGAGGATGGCGGCCGCACCGCGATTAGCATTCTCGGCCTCGCCGCTGGCTTTGGTCTGCGCGGAATTGGCCGCCCTGGCATCCTGGAACGTGCGTTCGATTGCGTCCGTCGTCGCCGCGGCCGCAGCGTCGGCCTGCGCGGATGCCTGAACTAACGCGGAAAGCGCCTGAGAGGCTGCTCTACCCTTCGCTTCGGCAATCCTTTGCGCTTCTTCCGCAGCCTTAGCGACAGCCAACGCTTCGGCGGATGCGTGAGCCGCGATCTTGGTCGCCTTGATGTAACCCAAGACGACGGTCGCGACGATCTTCTTAATGAGTGCCAGCGTCTCGGCGGTCACGTGAGCGTTCGCTTTGGCGTTTTCGATTGCCCAGCTGACCTTTTTCCATCCCAGACCGAGATTTGGCGCGCCGTTGATCTCGTCGATCGCGCTCAGCACTACCTTCCTGATGTTGAACTTTGACTCGTCGATTACGATGCCATGCGCGTCTTTCGATGGTATCGGTAATGGGTAGAGATTCTTCTTGGAATTGGCAACCGCGGTCGCGGACGCGGATGCGGACGCGGAAGCATCCGACCCCTTTAGGAGATGAGGACTCCCGCTGGCCAGTCCCCAGGCGAGGAACGACGTCACGAGTATCGCTGGAATCTTCATCTTCAACGGAACTTCGTAGATTGGTGCCGGATTAACGTGGTTCGCGTGTTATATACCAATATCGTGCGATCGCCGTGCAATTGTGTAAACACATCGGGCCGCAAGCGCGTCTCGCATGTCGAAAATATTGTCTCTCAAATCTCCAAACCTCTTCAGTTTGTTCGGTATAGTTTATCAAGCTGCATCTATTTTGTTTTTTGAAGTGTTTTCACTTGTAATCACTGTCGTGATGAAAGGAATATGTTAATCGACGGGAAAAATATCGTTTTTCTACGTTTTGATTATATTAAAATCTTTATGACATATTCTCATATACGTATAGCCGTAGATTTGCAATAATAAATATATTTTATCATTAAGACAAGTAAAAACTCTACTACAATAATAGTAGAAATTAGTATTCTACATTTTGAGGCAATATTTGCCGTCAATTTTAATTTTATATTAATTAAATAACACGATGATTGTAATAATATCGAGACTTGTGATTATTTCCTTTTTTTATCTTAGCATCGTGAATTAATGACTTTATTTTTCGACAAAAGTCTCTGAATTCCGCAATTAAAATTTTCAAAATAGCAGAGAGTGTATGATATTTAAAAGATCTAACAATTTTACATAATATTGTTATTTAAAAAAATTCCAGGATTAATTTTATTGGAAACTTTCTTGTTCATTACCGCAAGAATTTAATCCTACTGTATTCAGTGTAGCTATTATTTGGATACAATATGATTTATATTATAAATTCATATTAGTAATTTTTTTTCTCGATGATTTATATTGGCTTATTATATCATATGTTGATGACATTTCTTAAATTAATAATTTTAAATTTCTCTTATGCGTTTTTAGTTGAGAGATTAACGAAAAGTTATACAGAGCACAATAGTATTGTTGATTGAAATTTATTTAAGTAATAATAGGGGTGCGGCAACAATATACACATATTTGCATTCAGAAATAATTCATTTTAATTGAATCAAACAATCTATGACGAAAAGAACATCCGGTGATTTTGGAGCTAAATACGAAAAATTGTGTGTGTGTGTGTGTGTGTAATATATATAAATAAATTACTCATTATCTTCTGGTATTCACACATTTACAATTGCATTTGGTAACGATTACATAAAATTTTACAGTCATATTTTCATTTTGCTCAGGTCAGCGGGCATAAAGATTAAAGTTGACTAATATTAAGTTGACTGATTTAAAATTTAAATAAAAGTCTGAAAAGATAATTTGAAGTAATTGTTACTAATTTTTTTATATACACAATAGATTTTTATAATACGCGTACGGTAACAAACAGATGAATGGCAATTCTATAGATAGAGGTTTTACATATGAAAAACGTCTTGTCTTAAAAGTCTTGTTTTAACTTACTTTTAACGAAAATAATATATCCAAAAAAAAGATAAATCGTAAAAAGAAAGTTTGTGTGCAAATTTCTCATTGATTTATTATAAAAGAATATAAGACTAGTCGTTGAACATTAAAAATGTAACAAGAATTCAAGTATGAATAAAATGTGACTAACATGAAAAAAAAAAGAGAACGCTATTACGAAATTTCTTGCTTGCATAATCAAAAATAGTTAAGTTATCCTGATAACATCCTGATATACAGAATCTTCTGATTTTATTATTACTTAGTATTCTAATATATTAACAATAAAATAAGGACATAATTTCATTTATTTGAAGTAACACTTGAAAAAAAAAATTGTATATTAAGGAAAGATAACTTGTTCCTTCATCATTATAAGCCTTTTACTTTACTCGTAAATATAAGAAAATAAAATAATGCAAAACCATCTTTAATGCATAATCTCATGAATGTAATTATATGTGTCAGCAAAGGAGAAATAGAAATATTACATACAATGTTATATATATATATACCCTTAGCGCTATTATATTATAAAATATACGGCATATGATAAATCTATATTAATCTTTGCAACTCGTGTAAATATTTATCTATTATTTCATCAAATATAAATTTTTCATTTATCGTTATCAGTCGTACAATGGACGGCGCATCATCGGTTGTAGTAGACATGATAGAGGGTGTGATAGAGAGAAAGATATTTTAAGTTGCTATAACAATTTATTTTTATTCTTACATTTCACGGATTTCAAATCATTGCTTTTTTATTTTTTTATTTTTTTCAATTCCTGCCAGTAATGCTCGTGCTGCTAACCTATGGTATTCGCATGAATCAAAAGTTGTATGTTGTCCGCCGTGGCGACGATTTTCTCTTAGCAGGGAGATTGCGATTGCGCTGCGTTAAATGGCCCTTATGCAGCGTCGGCGCTCGCTGATGACGCGCTCGCCGCCTCGCTGATGCTTTCCTTCCGTCCGTAATGTCCGCCTCCCAAGGACACGCTGCTGCTTGCCTCGGCGCTGGCTTCCGCGCTCGACCTGATACCGTAATGTCCCTTACCGATCGCAGTGGCCTCGGCCTTGGCCTCTCCCTTTAAGTTGAGAGGAACCCAGGGATCGCGCTTGAACGACTCGACCCACCCTTCCGCTTGGCTGGCCGCCTCGGCGTCAGCGGTAGCAACCGCCTGGGCCGCGGCGGTGTTGGTCTCCGATTGAGCCGATGCCGCAGATTCGGACGCGGAGGCTCTCGATTGAATCTGGCTGGCGGCTTGTGCCTGGGACGAGCAGACGGTCTGATCGGCGGCCGCGCGGGCCACGGCGGCCTTGGCTTTGGCAATAGCGACCAGAGCTTCGGCGCTGGCCTCGGTGATCTCGGCCTGAGCCTTAGCGGAAGCTCGTGCGGCCTCCAGCGATCTGATCGCCGACTCCTTGGCTTTGGCGGCGGTGGCGGCGAGCACGGCGGCTGCCTGCGCCAGAATGGTGTTCGCTTTGTTGGCGATGATGGAAGCGGCGTTGGCCCTGGCTTCGCTGTTGGCGGCACTTCTCGTCTCGGCTGCCGACTCCTCGCTGGAGACCTTGGAAGCCGCGGCTGCGGCAGCGGCGCGAGCGATCGCGGCCGCGGCGGCCTCGGCGGCCTTCGCTGCCTTGGTAGTAATGATCGCCGCAAGATATTCGGCCTTGTCGGCTATCTCCATCGCCGCGATCGCTTGCGCGACGGCAGCGTTGGCCTTCGCCCCGGCGTTGGCGCTCGCCGCAGCTTGCGAGCTCGCGAAAATCTCGGCGCTGTTCGCGATGACGCCGAGGCCGAGATCCAGGCGCGAGCGCTGCTCGGTGAGGGTCGACACGTCGGATATCGCCGACTCGATGACGGCCGCGCCCTTGGCGACGTCCAGTCCACCGTTGTTGATGCCGACTTTCAGGGCGGGCGCGTTGAGCGATTTCATGTTGAGTCCCTCGATCTTCTTCTCCTCTTCCTTGCCCCAGATGAGCGAGCCGTGTGGCCGTTTGCCGTGCAGCCCGAGCCCGATTGCGGACGACGACGACGACGCCGACGCCGATGCCGACGCCTGTGCGGACGCCGAGCTGGAATCCAAGACTCCGCCGCTGGCGAGCCCCCAAGCGAGGAGAGACGTCACGAGTATCGCTGGAATCTTCATCTTCGACGACGCAACTTCGCAGATTGATGCCGGGTAGTGGCGCGTATGCCGATTATATACCGCACCGTTGACAATTGTGAAAACATTCGCGTCTTTGTTTTTCTTTCACGCGCAACGATTTCCCCCGCGCGTGTAACACTCCTTAAAATATTGTCTCAAGATGCCGAGGCGCGAAGCCGCGTTAATTTGTCGCATGCGGTTTGTTTAGGTGCGTTTCCGTTTATTCGCCGGAAAATATTTGTTGCTTATCTAACAAGTACCGGTTGTATCGCTCTGCTCTCTCTGGTTGACACCTACCACGAATCTATAGTTATTCAATTCTATATGCAAAAGGAAATGCTATCCTTTTGTTTTACATTAATTCTTAGATATTGCTAATTATTATATTTAATATTAAAGACCAAGTATTTGTATATATGTATATACAAGTGT